TCAGAGAGACGGTAAGAACGTTCAGCACAAGAATCAAAGAACACCAGTGACTATGCAGAAAAATGAAAACAGAAATATCAAAGATAGTTGAACATATTTCCATTGAGTACAAATGAAAGACTGACCTCATATGTGAAGAATACCAGAAAATGGAAAACCTTAGAAGCGCCGGCCAATCTGTTTCAAAGAAACCTGAAGAACAGGAGATTGGAAGATGTAAAAGTCAGCAAGACATTTGCGTACTCCCTGGGCAGACTTGGAGATTTAGCAAGGACAGCGAAGAGAAGGCGCTCAGACAAATGCCAACTAAGTAGATACGAAAAGTAGCTGAGTTTTGATGAATCGCCTGAGATAGCATTTATTGAGAGTCCTTCATTCCGAATGAAAGTGCATGCAGACGAGATTCGAAGGTCTGTCTCATCAGAAGAGGACGACTGATTCCCGTTGTACTGCAGTCGTTTGGCTTTAATACGACGTTCAGGTTGACGCAGCCCACCAGCTTTCATCCATCATATGATGTACACCATCAGAGCAGGAACTCATTCTTGTAAGAGTCTCATGTTAACACTAGGACCTTCGTATGATGGACGAAAGCTCAACCCACTTTCACCCGAAACGAGGGAGGATGTCTCATGGATTGCGTCAACCTGAATGTCGTATTAAAGCCAAACGGCTGCAGTACAACGGGAATCAACCTTTCTCTCCTGGTGAGACCGAAGTGCGAATCTTTTCTTCATGCACTTTCATACGAAATGAAGATCTCCCGCAACTATTCATCAACAGGCAGGGATACCGCCAAGAAAAGTATCATAAGTGATAAAGGGGAGCCAAGACAAAGCGATTGCAGTGAGAGGAGTTAAACCTGGACTCAACCGATTAGTTGCCGACTTGCGTCCATTTGTGGGATCTTGAGTATAAATTAAAGGCCAGAAACATGCAGATGAGACAACACTATAAGCGCTAAAATAAACAATAAGGTACCTATCAAATTAAGCAAGATGTGGAAACCAAGCTGTGGGCATAATATCAGTGGATCACTATTGTGTGCGTGTGTGCGGCATAAGGGAGTCGCGAAAACGAGGTTGAACCAATACAATACGAACCGCAACCCATCAAGGCGACCTGACACTCGCAATTCACTCAGATGCACTACTGAAATCATGTTAGTAATTAATTGAGCGCAGCTGTTCCACTGCATACACGCAACAAACTTTAAAAGGCCGACAACTTGCCTGCGCTCTGGCGTCTAGCGAAAAATGGCATCTGTGGCGCAATTGAGCCTAGCTTTGAACGCATGCTCTTGATACGGTTTTGCAAAATGCCAATTATGTCCAAGCCACTATAGGAAATGGAGACCTCATCTGTATGCGTTTGTTCTTTCTCCGACTCATCGGCCTCAGGTAGCTCCGGCTAGCAAAACGAAAGAAATAACAGGACGGGGAAATTTGTTATTGCGGTCATGAGAACGCAATATCGAGTTGCCGAAAGAGAAAATTTATAATAAATTTTAAAAAATTTACATACATACGTATTTCTACAAATGCATCGAATAATTAGTCTGAAATTATGATCTTAAAGTTTACTCTCTACCACTAACATGATATCTTGACAATACAGAATCGGTGTTTTTGCTCCAGCTCCCCAAATTCAGAAGCCTTAGAACATGCATTTGCCTCATTTTAATATATCGTAATAATTTGTGAACAAAAGAAGATCCTATTGAGTCTGGGAGATCGCATAAAGTTCAAAAAGCAGTCTGTTCTATTATGACATTATGTTGATTCGGCTATCCTCCAAACCCAAGAGACAATTTCACTCCTCCCTGCAGGGGTATACCGACTGTACTGCAGCATATTTACTGACCAACTTGCTAATACGACCGAGTTGGTCGGCAATGCAACCAGACACTTCTGTTCTTCTACATGTACAGGAATATAGCATATCTCTTATGGAGAAGATGTCATCAAGGCTGCTGCATTGAGAAGCCTTCGTTTGGGGGAGTAGGGAGACTTTATATAAAGCTTATCATGTGGTGTAAACTCCGCCTGGTATGGCAAAAGGCATTCTGGGCGTCTTGAAATAAGGTATTTGCACTCATTACAAGACTGGTAATGAAGCCAAGACCCATAAAATGTCGAGTTAAAACAACCGCCCAGCCTACGCTTAAAGCAGAAAATGAGATGTATTACTCTTTTCTACAACAATAAACCCACCAATTATAGAGATTGTTTGAACTTGTTTTCGCTACATGGTCATATTTGTAAGAAGACTTAGAGGACATACCTAGTCCAGAGTCCATTGTCTGCATCACCATTTTCAAAGTTTAACCGTGGACGTGGTACATTCCCAAACGTTTCGCCGGCATTGTAGTCGGCATCGTCAGTGAGTATCGCCA